CAAGTTCCAACAAACTCCAAAAACGCAAGACTTAACATGACAGTCATAGAATCGGGGTTTAGCGTTTAGGGTTCCTCTTCAGGGGTCCAGGGTTTAGGGTTCCTTTCAAGGGGTTCACGGTTTAGGTTTCCTCTTCAGCCTCACAGCCCCTAACGCCAAACTTCGCTGAAAAGCTTTCCACCTGGAAAAGAGCTGACAACGAGGTCGGCGCTATCCTGACTCCCTCCACAGCCTCTTGAAAGCAAGCAGTGCTGTCTTTCGTGCTTTGGGGCTTCGAACCGTACTCCTCATCGTCATATGATAAATAAGGCTTAGGATCTAGTCTTGGTTTCGGTTCGGGCTAGAGTTCAGGCTTTGCCGGGGTTGCTGTTTCTCGACAAACCTAACAGACCTGCGAGATACATCTTTTCCAAACCAATGACAAGATCAGATAGAAGCCTGAAAAATTACTCACAGTATTCCTGAGGACCCTGCTTCAGTATGCCCCAATATACCCCAAAACCCTATTACAATTTTTCAGGCTCCTACATGACTGTTTAGAAGAGCCATGTAGCCAGAAGAGAAGAGACTAGATTAGCAATCACCTTGAACCTAAATACCTGTTCATATGGTTACACTATAGTACTGCTAGCTGCTAGATAGATTACTCAATGGTTTACTAAACCTGTCTATGCTGCTAGTGAAGTCCTGCTTATGCCAGTGTTCCAAAGCTAATTAATGTAGCTTCACCCCAAAACGCCAAGCCCTGAAACCCCAAAGGCCCCCGAAACCTTACATCATAAGTACCCCTAAACCCTAAACCCTAAACCCTAAATCCTAAACCCTAAACCCTAAACCGTGAAGGACCCTGTGACGCAGCTTCTGCTATCCGGCGCACTGTATCGAGCTCAGAGCTTTATCTCGGTTCTGTCGGTTTAGGGTTTAGGGTGCGTAGTGGGGTATCAGGGCTTCGGAGTTTGAGGTTTAGGGTTTAGGGGTTTAGGGTTTAGGGTTTAGGGTTTAGGGGTTTAGGGGTTCAGGGGTTAGGGCTTTTGGGATTGGGCTTTTGAAGTCTTCTCGGTCTAGGGCTTACGCATTCTAGAAAGGGTTGGCTGATAGACGACGGAGTGAAAACTTCGGAGTTTGATTGTAAAGCCCTATACAACCCGGAAACTCTAGCTTCCAAACCCTTCACTAAGCCTGAACCCCGAAGCCATCTGGGTGGTTGTCAAAATTATGGTCCCTTTTGGGGTACCCTAAATAATAGGTGCCGTATTATAATAAGGACCCAAAAACGGACCATAATTTTGACAACCACCCATCTCGACTGACCCTGGCTTCTTCAGAACCAGCACCCTGGTTCCAACATCTTGCAACACTGAAGCAGTTTAGTTTATGATCATACCCCTAGTTTTCGTGAGTAGAGAAAGCTACACTTCAGGAATTAGGGTTTAGGGGTTTAGGTTAAGGGGATCGCTGAGACGTTTATGGATTCTGGCTTCCGTTTCTTCACAACCTTTGCGGCATCTTCAGCCAGGTTGGTATAGGAGAGTGAATTGAAACTGGTGTTTGGCGCTTTCTTGACTAGCCATGGACGACGCCACAGTGGCCTCCAGTTTTATATATGACTTTTGGATGCAGTATATCTAAGCCCGAAAGCCCTGACTCAATCGGTAAAACCCGAACCCCAAACCCTAAACCCTAAACCCTAAACCCTAAACCGACTCAATCGGTAAACCCGAACCCAAAACCCTAAAACCTGCTACCCGAAAGGCTTAAAGTCCTTAACCACACTCCCGAGCATCGGAAAGAGCAGGGACCCACCAAGCCGAGAAACAGTCTGACGCCCCACTGCCCACACACGCGCTTCACACAGTTTCTACGAGGGCAGTTCTCTGAATTAGGGTCCCTTAAAGGGTCCTTTTTATAGGGAGGGCGTATTTTTTCGGTCTTTTTTTTTTTTGGTCCTTTTTTTTTCGCTGGGGTCCCTTTGAAGGCAATGAAGGAAGGAAGGCAGAAAGAAGGAAGGAGGGAAGGAAGGAAGGAACGAAGGAAGGAAGGAAGGAAAGAAGGAAGGAAGGAAGGAACGAAGGAAGGAAGGAAGGAAGGAGGGAAGGAAAGAAGGAAAGAAGAAAGTTAAAGGAAAGTTCAAGGAAGAAAGGAACGAGGGAAGGAAGGAAGAAAGGAAGGAAGGAAGAAGGAACGAAGGAAGGAAAGAAAGAAGGAAGGAAGAAAGGAAGGAACGAAGGAAGGAAGGGGAGAAGGAAGAAAGGAAGGAACGAAGGAAGGAAGAAGGGAAGGAAGGAAGGAAAGAACGAAAGACGAGATGAAAAATAA